TTTCCAAACTTATTTTGCATTTATTAATGAAACGCAATTAGATCAAAGCTCAGAAACCAGTTAATTTGAATGACAAACGATTACGCAAACATACTTCTTTAGGAGATGAAAATCGGGCTGTCTTTGGTGAGGAATTCATGGTTTCGTCTTGTTGCTAAATTAAGATATACTATTCTTCTTCCGGAAAAGATAGTTTCTTTCATTTTATCCAACTGAAGGATAAAATTGGCATTTTCATGACTGTAGGATATTTATTAATCTCTCCCTCTCTGATCCGTCTGCATTTTTAGTTTTCTCATTTCATATTTCAAATTTCTCATTTCTGATATTTTTAATTCCTTCGTTCTGTCCATCATGGCCTAATAAATACATATTAATTGGTTAATAAATACATATTTATCTTTCGTGAATGCACAAAGTGTCGCATGCATTTCTAATTTAGCAACTCGTTAAAAAAAAGCAGTCAATCATTCGTCCTTTTTGTTCTTTCTCTCTTCACACGCCGATTAAACGAAAACTATTTTGACAAATTGAATGACACCGAAATTCTAAATTCCAGCTTCACAAATGGCTTCGACCAATGAAAATTATGTCCATCGGGATAATCTATTTGTCCTCAAATGCACGATTTGTTTCCGTCATCCATCAGAATCAGAAGACAATTCATTTAATTATTCTTCATTACACTGTCAGCTTATACCTTCTAAAATTTGTTTATCACAATTATGGAGTGAGAAGAAATGGAGGAATTTCTGATGTGATGCATCGAACTTCAGCTGAAGTTCTCTTCTCGAATAAATAGGAAGGAAGGAAAAGTCATTTTTATTGCTATTTAAATTTTGTAGTAAACATCTTAGTTGTTGTTTTGAATTGATTTCACATAACTTTTTTAATGAAATTCTGAAATTCTGGATATAGCTGAGGTTCTATTACTCAATTTATCCTAATTTCAATAATTCAGTTTAAAAAAAAATAAAATTGTTTTTAGTAATATTTCAATTGTGTTCCCTCAAAATGTTTTATTTACCTCAACAATTTCATTTTATTTTGTTGCATTTTTTCGATACCAATTTTTTTTACGATAATTTAATTAAATATCTAATGGTTCAAGTTTTGTAACATACTTTCCTTAAATTCACATAATTTTTTTTTCTCAAGCAGTTACTTTACTGCTACCATATATGTTGAGTAATACTTTTGCATAATAATTGAATAATTGTTGGTAGTGTCAACTTTCATTGTAACATATATTTTATGCTAACCTTTTTGTATTTTTGATTGATATGTTTTACTGACTCATGCTAATAAAGTTGTTGGTAGTGTCAACTTTCATTGTAACATATATTTTATGTTAACCTTTTTGTATTTTTGATTGATATGTTTTACTGACTCATGCTAATACCAATGCATTATTTCTAATGAATCAAAATTTAACAATTTTTACCAGTATATTAAACAGATTTACTCGTTTCAAAAGTAATCTTTCAATTATTTTGCAGATTTTCTTATTAATGATTCTATTAGTTGGGAAAAAGAAAAAAGAAAAAAGAACACGGCCATTTTTGTTTTAATTTTGATATTATAAATAAATTTTTGAACAAATCCAAATATTTGCATATTTTAATGCTCAGTTTAATGTGTTTATTGGAAAAATGACGAGAATTTTATGCATATAATTATTATACAAATAACAAATTTCTTATGCTATCAATGAATCAAATTACTGTTTCTTAATATAACTTACTGATTTGCTAATTTTAACATGTCTCCAACAATTTGGGAAAATTTATATGATTCATAAAATAGTCCATAAAATGAATCATTTAGAATGTGAATATTTTAGTGATGTTAAACAGATAAGCACATATGTCGACAATAAATATTAGCTCGGTATTCGTTGAAAGAGTAACATTTGTTGGAAAAGTAAGAAAACTGAAAAAGCAACAAAGTTTGAAATTACTTTGTTCTTTGATCAGTAACGGAATTAGCAACTAATGCAACTGTGACACTGTGAATTCGATCATTATGTAGGTTAAACTAAGAAGTTTCTCTTAAGGTCATTTCAACATTATCAATTTAGAAGTTTGCAAAGTTTCATTTCTTTTATCGAAAACTAATAATGATAATAGTTCAGGATAGGGGGAAAAAATTGAACCATAAAAAAAATTTTGTAGAAAATGAGTACCGTATAAATTAACCATAACAGATTACATTATGAATACCGTATAGATCACATTAACTGAAAACGAAGTATAAGTTAGCTAATTTGTTTAATCATTGATGATGAACGTTGATATAGTAGCAGATTTGATCAGTCAACATAAATAAAAAAAAAAAAATACGAACAGAAGCACGGAGAACGGCAATTCATCGTGATAAAAAAAACTGTACTGAAATTGGAATTAATATAAAAAATCTTTAAGGTAAGCTTCTTTTTTTTTTTTTTCATAATAATAGCATAGGCAGAGATATGAAAATATTCTGATTGGCCAACAGCTGGATTAACTTTTCAATATCTGAAGAAAATGCAATAAGTGATTCAGCTGTCTCCAATACTAGAAGTAATTCAGCTGTCTCCAAAGTTAAAAGTGAAGCTCATATCTGACGTGCAGATGCAATGTTTTGATCCAATTCTGCAAATAATTATAAGCCAAAATAATTCAGTTTTCTTAAAAACAAAAGGAAAAAAAAAGAGCACATCTGCTTAATTGTACACTTAATTCTCGTATATAAGATGCAACGAATTTTTGAAATGAAAAAGTGAAATCATTTCTTTTTGATCACTTTTCAATTCTTTTTTTATCTTTCAAATAAAGCTTATCAATTGCTAAGTTCTTTTGTCTTGTACTGATAATAGATGCTAGTTATTAATAATCGCGTTAATTAGTATAAGTTAATAGTGCAAGAAAAAGTAGGATTTTGATTCCAATTTCAGTTAAATTAAATGAATCTGTTCATTGGGAGCAGTTATGGTTTTATGATTAAATTGATAAAGATCAGATACGCAACTATAAATTTAATTTAAAGTTGCATTTTACGTGAAATTACTGAGTGGACAGTTGGAATAGTTGACAGTTGTAATAACGGAAAATGAACAGTGAAAAGCAAAATGCGCCATCGTTCTGACTTGCACTAATCTACTAATGCTCATGTTCATTCTATCTGATAGTTATAATGAATGATTAATTTGAACCATTTCGTATTAAGACGATTTAATGCTTTGTTTTTCTTTTTTTGTCAGGAAGAAAAAATGAATAAACTTCTGATAGCGTTTGGTTTAGTATTTCTTCTTGTGTTACTTCCTTGTGAATCACAATCAGATGAACATTTTGATGTAACTTTTACAAAATTATTTTTCAAAATCTGTAGTGTAAACCAGACACAAAGTTAATTATATTAAATTGAAAATATAATTACAGACGATAAGTAAAAACCTCATTTGGTAACAGAGCATAGGATGACAGATAAGCTGATAAGGAGAAGGATATTTAGCAGCTAGATGTATAACAGGGCACAGGATAAGAGATAAGCTGATAAGGAGGAGGATATGTAGTAGTTAGATGTATTGATATAGCTTCTTGTATTTTCTTGAGGAATTTGTAGTAAATAAGCAATGAATAAGAAATTACAATATTTATTATAAAGAATATGCATGATTTTATTCTAGTATAACAAGAAATTGAATTCATCCATCTCACAACAAAGAATATCAAAATGCATGGAAACATGAAGTTCATTGAAATTTTAATTTTTTAATTGTTTTTTTTTTTTCTCTTCATATCAGAATGATGGTGATAGTGGTGGTGATGAAGAAGATGATGATGCTGATTATGAAGCAGATAGTAATGGTGATGAGGGAGATGATGGTGATGATGATGATGACGAGGAAGATGATGATGACGCTGATGAGGGAGATGATGGTGATGGTGATGAGGAAGATGATGGTAATGATGATGGAGAAGATGATGGTGGTGAAGGCGACGGTGCTTACGTTACCAAAGGAGAATTTGTTGAAACAGATGGCAAGTAGGTTATTTGGTTTTTTGTAATATCAATAAGACTACTTATGAATCCTTTCATCGAAGATATGGTATCGTCAAATTGAGGTACTGAGGTTACTTCTGATCATTATGCATATAAACTGTCAATTGTAAGTAAAGTTCAAAAAATAATGCGAAGGGATGAAATCTTTTTCCATTTCATTTTATTATATGTGTTGTTTGCAGGAAGAAAGAATGCAAGTCTCATGAAGCTTGCTACGATCAACGTGAACCACAAGATTGGTGCAGATTGAACGAAAATCAATCGTGGACGTAAGCGCATTTCAATCATTTCTATGGAAAATTGTATTGAAATTTTCAATATTTCAAAATATTTTCAAATGTTTCAAATTTTATCTTAATAGCACTGAAAAGTTCTTATTTTAGAGACAAAGGTTGCTACTGTGACGATAAGTTGCATTCATGCATTATTGAGCGCAAGAACGGTGGCAAGTTGGAATATGCGCACTGTGCGCCTGAACAAGGATGGAAATGTCCAAGCAAGTAAAATAACCTGTGATATGCAATCTTTCATTATAATTTTCTATTTCTGTTCTTTCTAACAATCAACATTTAACGATGTTTGTTATTTGGTCCGATTTTTATTAAATGCAACTTGCTCTTTTACATCCTTTTTAAGCAGACAAAAATAGCAATATAGGGGGGTAATTCGATAGCTCAATAGATTTATAATAATATCATTGGTTATCGATGCCTAACAATCTGAACGGTCCAATTTGCGCAAACATAATAAGTAAAGCTATTCATTCTCCTCATTATATTCTACAATAAGCACTTTTTGACCTTATCTGATAGTTTATGCCTTTTACTTTTGGAAAAGTTATTCTTGAAAAACAAGAAGAACCTTCTTCTTCTTCTTCTCATTTGCTCTAACTATGCCAAAAAAGCACTTTTCATGCTATTTTTTTTT